AGAGAGAGAGAGAGAGAGAGAGAGAGAGAGAGAGAGAGAGAGAGAGAGAGATACCTGATGGATAAAAAGATGAACATTTATACATAAACAGGTGTCATCATTACATCACCATGGTTCATTATACATCACACCATACCACTGGTCATTATGATTAATAAAGTATCCCCAAACAAACATCATCACAGTTCACTATCCTCACTCATACACCTTAAACCATAAGATCATATTACAGTTACAGTATAGAATGCACATAGCGAAGTCGGCGTGACACGGAAATCTTTTCGTTATGTATGAATTTCGCTACGCGTATAGGCCTACACGTCTAAAAAAAAGATCGGGACCTGAAAATTTGTTCACTATGTGCATGTTCATTGTGTGTGTGTTTCGCTATGTACGTATTTCGCTATGGGCGTGCTAGACTGCATATTATATAGCCCCCCCCCCTCTCTCTCTCTGTGTCTCCCTCCCTCTCTCTCTCTCTCTCTCTCTCTATATATATATATATATATATATATATATCTATATCTATCTATCTATCTATATATATTCCATTCCACCCAGGGTGACTCGGGAGGTCCCTTGGTCTGCCTGGACGACGCCACACAACGCTGGGTGGTGGTTGGCGTGGTTTCCTACGGCGAGGGCTGCGCACGCCCAAACTTCCCCGGTGTCTACGCCAAGGTCAGCTCCTACTACGACTGGATTCAGGATCAGCTCAAAAGTTAAAGATGTCATGTCATTATGCAATCTGAAGCACGGAGAGTGACTACGTATTACCGTTCAAGACTGGTTGGCAGTTCTTGTCTTAGAAATGTCACTAATTAAAATTTTATCAATCACCCCAAAAATCTCTCTCCCCCCCCCCCCCAATAATGAAAAAACAAAACAAAAAAAACATGTAATAAATTTACGAACACCGACTCTCCCTCTTACTCTCTTGAGAATCTGACTGCAATTCAGGCAGTATTTAAATCAAATAAATTCCTCGTCACTTCATGAAGGAAATGTTTCGTGTTCTTCCTTGAGGATTAGTTCATGTGGAAGTGCGATTTGATGTAACCCGAGTCAACTAATGCGTCAGAGTAACTTGACAGCTATACACACAAACACACACACACACACACACACACACACA